AGCTATAAATTAAGTGCGAATTATACAGATACATATATTATACAAATGTTTGTGGTCAGGAATCCTCTAAATCCTATTAAATTGGCCTACCAAACTTTTAAATTAAATATTCTAGGAGCACATTAATAATAGCACCATTTTCATCTGTTGTCCGTCGTCCAAATAAAAGTTAGAAATATGTAACAGTAGAAAAATATTTCCAAGATTTAATCTTAATCCTGTAGTGATCATAGTTCTTTTAAAATAATAATAATATTCTACCACATTCACACAACGCCATCTAGTCCCAAACTCAGCAGAGCTTGTACTACGGGTACTAGACAACTGATTTAAATACATATATCCTTTTTTTTTGTAAATACATACATATTATACATAGAAACACCCAGATCAAATCAAACATTAAATGTTCATGCACACAAATGTTTGACTTGAGCTGGAATCGAACCCGCGACCTTTGGAAGAGCAGTCCGTTACACAAACCACTACGCCATCCGGTCGTCGATGTCATAACAATGTATTGCTGATGTTTTCTTTTAAATACCAGTGAGCAGTTAAATAGCACATAATTCAGGAACGTCATGAAACTTTGTTCCATCACAAGTTCCTTTTTTTAGGGTTCCGTATCTCAAAAGGTATAAAAGGAACCCTTATAAGATCACGTTCTTGTCCGTCTGACCGTGTGTCACCACCGATTTTCTCAGGAACGAGTAGACCTAGCAAGTTGAATTTTATACCAGATACTGAGGTCTATGGTCCCTATTAGGTGTATAAAAATCAATGTCCTGAGTCAACACGATAAAAAGATATGGACAAATTTCGATTTTCGCGAAAACTTGTAAGTGGAATTATTCCTTTACTTGTGCTGTAAGACGTTTCTTTTCGCCAAATTTCGTGATTCTAGGTCAACGGGAACTACCATATAGGTTTTCGACCCAAAACCTATAAGGGTACTTCCGGTTGACCTAAAATTGTCAATTTTGGTTAAAAGCATGGTCTTACAGCACAAGTAAAGAGAAAATTCTGAAAAAATAATAATTGAAAATTAAGATAAATTTTGGTACTTACAAATTTTCGTAAAAATCTATGTAAAATCTGGGTAGGTACGGAACCCTCGCCGCACGAGTTCGACTCGTACCTGACCGGTTTTTTTACTTTATAACTACTAGTAATTTTGGAATCAGGTATCTCTAATTTTTTAACCGACTTCTAAAACACAAAAGAGGAGGTTCTCAATTCGTCTGTATTTTTTTTTTATGTATGTTTGTTCCGCGATTTCTCCGTCAATTGTGGACCGATTTTCAAAATTCTTTTTGTAATCGAAAGGGTATGCTCCCGAATTGGTCCCATTACCACCAATTCAGGATCTGATGATGGAATCCCAGAGAAATCGAGGGAAACCCTCACAATTATTGGGAATTTGACAGCCCCGACAACGTGTTTTAGCTACGAGTATTTCTTTAGCCAAACAAACCATGGCAACCGTCAGAGACTGCGCGATATGATGCGCAGAGAACTTGCAGTATTTATGTCACCACAGTAATTTTCGTTGTATTAAGAAGAAAAGGTTGAAATTTTGTATTCTATCTTGTTAAAATAATTCGGATAGACGTTTTGTTGCTATGCATGGCATCGCATTTCGTTTGTAAGTAATTTTATACTTAACTTATTAAAATAGTTCTGGAAAAAACTCTTAAATTTTGTGTGGGTCAACTAGGTTAATTTCTAACATACCAGTATTAACCCTTCTAGTTGGAACTCCTTCTATAAAATATTGAGCATATTTGTTGAGTAGTCTCACTAAAGCTTCCCTATCTTCACCTTCGAGATCAGTGTCAATTGAATCGGAAGTTATTTTGTTCGGTTGCAACTCACATGAATTTGACTGTTTCTTAGAAAAAAATTTAATAAGAAGAAAGAAGAGAGAATTTTCTGAATTATCTGAATTTAAGAATTTTCTGATAGGCAAGAATCCGGTACTACATGAAAGAGTAAGGTCTGAGTTATTTCACCTACTTGTACTTCATTTAAAATTTGAGTATCACACCTTACATCATTACCCCCATTCCAGTTACGTAAACAAGAGAATTGCACACAGTACCATGGAATTTACAGCAAAAAGTCTCTTTGAGAAGTGAACAAGACGACCCACTATCAACGTCGCCTATAGAGAGGTCCTTTGAGACGGAGCACGCGCCAGGAGCGGGCCGGCGCTGGGAGGGGTCCAGAAGGCGATAACCACCTGAGGGTACACCGTGTGGTTTTAGTCGGTTGGAGTCCGACACACCGCCCCGCCGAAAACTCCGGCGGGGTGACGGTCCGAGGGGATTTCCACACGTTAAAAAAAAAAGTCTAGTATATAGTATAGTATGTACATAGTAGAAAAAAAAACAAATAGAATGTGAAAAGATTTTTAATGTGATGTCGGTAATCTTACAAAGATCTACAAAAAAGTCCTGGGTTAAGTTAATATGTATAGAAAATGGGTTATATACGAAGCTTTTTATACACATTTTATAAACAGTACAGTATTACTCCTTAACACCAATTTTAAACAATACAGTTTTATTCCTTATCCAATTAAATATGTTAGATACGTTGTGCATTTGACGTAGATCAAAATTGTCCCCGTTGGGGTTATATCTTACAAAGATCTACAAAAAAGTCCTGGGTTAAGTTTATATGTATAGAAAATGGGTTATATACGAAGCTATTTTATACACATTTTATAAACAATACAGTATTACTCCTTATCCCTATTTTAAACAATACAGTTTTATTCCTTATCCAATTAAATAGGTTAGATACGTTGTGCATTTAACGTAGATCAAAATTGTCCTCGTTGGGGTAAACGAGTTCTTGAGTGGAGACCGTGCCGCATCTCGGTAAACGTAGTATAAGACGCCCACATGCCAGGTGGAGTGACGATTTGCGCAAGATGTCTAGCAGGAGCTGGATGCGAGAAGCCGAGGATCGAACTAAGTGGCGTGTAATTAGAGAGGCCTATGTCCAGGCGATAGGCTAATGATGATGATTTGTTACCCAATCATTTCGTGAATTACGATTTTGACAAATTATACATGCGCGCGTGTGTGTGTGCGGGTGTGTGTGTGGATGTGGATGTGTTGTGTATGTGTACTAGTTATACTAAACTACCTAGTTGTTAGAAAGATTACGCAATCGTGTCATTTCTGTTAAGGCTTTCTCATCGTGGGGTCGATTTAAAAGCTTATTTGCATCCAAATTAGATAAGGCAATGCCTTCTAAGGTTTTGACGCGACTCAGGGCTACATAAATCTGTCCTTTTGCAAAATTTTTCTTTCCTAAATCAATAACTGCTTTATCAAGGGTTGTACCCTGAAGTTTGTGGACACTTACAGCCCAGCTTAAGATGAGCGGTAACATTCTGCGTTCAATATCTCCATATCCTCTTTGCCCTTGGAATGTTGTGCAAACAGGTGAGATTGCCACACAACCGTCATTATCTTTTATTCTGAGGCCAACAGTTGCGTCATCAAATTGTTTAAACACAGATTCAGGCAACTCGCCTTCCTCCAATTGATCTCTTCGGAGAGCAGGCCATTTAATTTTCTTAACAATACCCATGGCACCATTCACAAGCCCATCTGATACGGACATATTACGTCTTAACATGACTCGTTATTCGGCGCCCAACTTTATAGTTGGTAAGAAACCACCGCAGTTATTAATGTGTTTAGAGATAACATTTTCTGGTGGCTTTCTACCATAGGTTGCTGCCTCGCGAGACTCATCTACAGCATTTATTGTATACATACGATGCGTTTTCGCATTTTCAGTGGTAATTTTTTCATTATACTTGTCAACTTGTCCAGTTTGTTACTATACATTACGGTACGTAGTGTTTTAAATATCGTACTTATCTACTCATTACAAACATATCCTACACTAAAAATGGTAAAATAAACCCTTTTAAAAAAAAAGTTGAAGCGACTTCAAACAACACCGACAAAGAGCACTAAAAATTAAAATACCAATAGTCCCTTCTAGTCTGTTTGAAGACTATTGTATTGTATATATTGGTATTATAATGTTACCTGTTACATTGAGGGTACTTATTATAGTTTTTTACTTGGATTTGTAATTTTTTTTAATTTTTAGTGCTCTTTGTCGGTGTTGTTTGAAGTCGCTTCAAATTTTTTTTTTTAAAATGTTTTATTTCTTATTCTATGTTTAACTGAATCATTTCCTGTTTTCGAAAGCATCTTATTAACAATGAATTATTAATTTCATTACATACCTACTTGATTTCGATATCATTTTAACTTTTGGAAGATCTGATTTGTACATTTGATTTTTTCCAATTAACACTTTGATTGTTTTTATATCTAGTATATAATTATATAAAATATTGCTTAATATTTTGCTAGCAACGCAAATTTCAATACTCAAAGTTTTTGAGCACCTAATTCGTAATCTTGGTACCTAATTATCATCTAAAAACACCCTAACTTTGTCATGTTTTAAATGCGAATTCTTGACTCTGCGTTGCTGGCGAGACAGAGCTTAAGTTTTGTGTGTTAGAACTTCATTACGGTAGTGTCGTGCCATTTAAAATACACGCTCTGCTACTTAGCACTGCAATAGTAAAATTGGATAAGTACCTTATTAAGTAATGTTTAAAGTTTATTTATTTCCGTGATACCGGCTTCACGGTTATTCAACCTCGTGTGGAAACCACCTGAGGCTTGTGCCTTGTAAGCGACACAACGCTTAAGACATAACAAATAGGTATTTCGGCAATTAAGTAACAATGCAGGCTTAGATAATACTCATATTAATACGTCACACACGGACTAATACTGTTCATCAGCAATTGGTCGGAATACGTTATCTTAGTGCGAGAGAGATAACACATTGGCCTCGAAAAATACACCCAGTTTGACTCGGAGACCGCTGAGCATAGCCGTGGCCGATACCAACGTGCGTTTCTAATAAATTAAAAAACAAGAAAAAAAAGAATGTTTCCATTGCGCCGTGTTGGCAGTAAGGTGAGTGTTAATAAGTGCACAAATTAAAAGTATATAATATACGTAATGCACTATGATCGGAATTCGAATTTCAAAAATGCCAACGTGATAAATATTTTTATCCTTATAAGTATGATAGTCGAAGTCTGTTCCATATTTAAATTAAAGCGGTTCCACAGGTCTTGGAGCAATGGCGTACTCCTCTTGTTTCGGCCAAAGTGCAAAAAAGTTACAGCACAGAAGCGTTCCCCCCTCGCGCTCTGACTATGCTAACTGAAGATGAACTCCAAATGAAAGATACAAGTAAGTCCAGTTATTGTATCACTCGAACCATATGCCGGTTTAAAAGTAAATAATTCTGAATAATTTTTTGTTCAAATACCGAATAGCGTATTGTTTTGTATGGCGTTGCGGACTATAGCAGAATATTAACAGTTGAATTGCAAAATTGAATGCATGTGAGACATAAATAGGTTCTGTACTCTTTTGCACTGTATGTTAGCGGCGAAACTAAACCGATGCGTCGACTGGCATGTGCTTATTGCATTATAAAACCGCACAGGCAAAATAGATCATTAGAGTGCTTTCATACTGGTGACAAATCGATTAACCATGATTTAATCTTTACTAATATTATAAAGAATTAAAGTTTGTGAGTTTGTATGTTCGGGGTTATCTCCAGTATCGGGCGGAACCGCGGGAAAAGCTGGTGTATAATAATTATATTAATAATCAAGACTAAGTTTAGTATATTTTATATAGTATAGTAAGTATGTAAGTTTTTATACGTACTAACTGTACCCTGCCATAATTATAAGACCTTGTCTTATCGTACCACATATTAATTACGCTTATTAAATACATTAATAATATGTATTTCGATTGATTATATGTATAAGTTATGTTTTCGTCAAAACTAACATTCGTAATTTACAATGAGTTTTAACCGACTTCTTTGGGCGTGATTTTGCCTGACTTTAAACGGTCAGAATTCGTTTAAACTTTGTAGATATATGTATCTAGGACCGATGGCAATACACTAATTAAAAAAAATTTTAAAAAATCGTGGGGTGCTTTTTACTATTGACAACATGCACCCAAGGCTATTTTTTTCAAATTTATCAAAATTTATTTTCTATTTTTTAGTTTGGTTTTCTATAAAAAGCGTGTTTATTAGTTTTTAAACTATTTTTTTTAATACTAAAGTATTACAGCTTTAGTAATTCTACTTACTTTTCCGTAATGCTCGTGTAATAGTGTACTATTACACTATTACACAAGCGAGTACCCGATGTTTAGAGACGGTGAATATATTGTAATATTTTGTTAAAAAAAGTTTGACTACATTCTATCTAAAGAAATCCGATAAAGCCGATTATTTGGGTTGTGGAGGCCTGATGGCGGTCGCCCCACGTAAAAATCCAAGTTCAACCGTGTCGTAGTAAAATGAAAGCCGTTTTTTTTTTTTTTTTTACGTGTGGAAATCCCCTCGGACCATCACCCCGCCGGGGCTCTCGTTCGGCGGGGCGGTGTGTCGGACTCGAACCGACTAAAACCACACGGTGTGCCCTCCTTGCGCTTCCAGTTTAGGAGGGGTCCAGGTAGTTATTGCCTTCTGGACCCCTCCCAGCGCCGGCCCGCTCCTGATGCGGGCTCCGTCTCAGTGGACCCTCTCTTTAGGCGACGTCCGGCACACGCGGACGCCGCCCCCTCGCGGCTGGCCAAACTAATGCGGGTGGAGGGGAGAAACCATCCCGTCCACCCGCGGCCACTAGCAAAATGAAAGCCGACCCCAACCTAGTTTGGGAAAAGGCTCGGGGATTATAATGATTATACAACATCAATGATAATGATGAATGTAAAAAAGTGAAAAGTCCTGAACTCGTTATGAAATGGCGAGTGTTGAGCAGTGAAATCATCATCAACAGCCTATAATAGACCACTGCTGGACATAGGCCTCTCCTTAGAAAGGAGGTTTTGGCCTATTATACCACGTTGGCCAGACGGGTTGGTATAGGGTTTGTTTCAAGTTTTCCTTCTTTTTGCAGTGCTGTTGTCCTGTGCAGTTTGTTGACACCCACGGGATGAATAGGGGTTTTGACATTCCGTATTCTTAATCCGTCACCACACGGATAATTATGAAATGATTCATGGCAATATTACTCACCCGCATAATTCAGTCACTTATTTTCTATGTACAGTTTTACAACTTACGTTTTGTAAGTTGTAAAACTAGTAGATACACCAAAAGTGACCGGTCTTAACCCTGAACTGTTGACCGCATTATCGTATGACGAAACATTAATGCTCAACAATCGCTTTGGAAAGGTTTAAGTCGCATTAATCTCAGCTATATTTATCTGACAGATAACAATAAACCGATATTTTTATAACCGTTTTGTTTGCAACATATAAACAGAATCTGGTTGTTGGGGCGTTTCGGTCCGCTCGTGTTTCGGCCCGTGGACCGAAACGCCTAATAGTGCCTTTGGGATTGTTTTTTTTGTCCCGCGGGTCGAAACGTCCAAGGATTTTTCCCGATAAGATATTTCTGTACAGCCATTTTTATTTTTTTTATAATTTTAATAATTTATTTCTTTTTTTTAAATTTTATTTTTTAATAATTCATTTTAATTTATTCATTTCTTTTAATAATTTTTTATAATAAAAATAAATAAATCATTTCCTCCAAATAGCCTCCAAAATAGCAGAATTCTGCTATTTTATGTTTACGCCAAGCCAGTGTCATACCACTGACACGCTATTGAGATGCCATCGAATAGCCATTGGCATCTGTATAAATATCGGTAGTTGAAAATATATTACGTTTTTTGAGGAAATGATTTATTTGTTTTTATTATAATAAATTAAAATAACTTATTAAAAAAAAAAATAAAAAAAAAAAGAAATAAATATTTTTTTTATTAAAGAATAAAATATAAAAATTATAAAAAAAGAACTAAGTAAATTGTTAAAATAAAAAAATAAAAATAAAAAATCATTTCCTTAAAAAACGTAATATATTTTCAAATTATAAGGAAATGACTTATTTATTTAAATATTTTTATTTTTATTTTTTTAATATGTTATTTTAATTTATTTATTTCTTTTAATAATTTATTACAATAAAAAATCGGTTGTCTGTAAAGTCGGTTTACTGACGATAGTTGAACGTGACAACGTCATAAGAAAATACTGATGGAATGGTTGCATTTTTCAAAAATGTATTATTGTATACGAGTAGCAGCTGTCCACGCGGACGCATCGCTCACTCAAGTAGGAGAGAGACAGATATCGAACGCTGCCGAACGCGGAGGCCGATTGTGCCTCTTTGTCGCTCGTTCCGCGCTCTCGCTTGCACTTCACGCCTTAAATGGAACGCCTCAGAGCGAGGTAACGCCGCATGAGTCATGTTTTTTCGTGCGTGCAGCCGGCTCCATCGAATTATAAGACGTTGTCACGTCAAAACAAATAAATCATTTCCTCAAAAAACGTAATATATTTTCAACTACCGATATTTATACCGATGCCAATGGCCACTCGATGGCATCTCAATAGCGTGTCAGTGGTATGAAACTGGCTTGGCGCAATAGCAGAATTGAGGCCCAGGACTGTGATGAGCTCAGCTCGTCAACAAGCATGCTCTCAAAAGATCGTAAACACATATAAATTTTACCATAGAATAAAAATTACCTACACTTCAGAATTAATGAAAATTACTGATTTTAAGTTATAAGTCTGCTGTCTTTAGTCATACAATTTGTGTCATGCAGTTTGTGTTTTTAGCAAATTTTTACTTTTGTTTATGTGATAAACAAACACTAAATAGTTCAAATTGTAGATATTGTTTTATTCAAAGAAATTTACACTTGTGTATATTATTATTTAAAATTTTCTTATAAAATATTTTAGAGCAGTTCTGATTAAAGGTGCTAACCTTTAATCAGAACTGCTCTAAAATATTTTCTTACTGTTCATCAACCGAAACTACGGCATACCGAAAATTTTATTTATTCTTACTGTACTTACTAGTCAGCACGGGATTCTTAACTAATAAATATCGTTACTGTTATCGAATGAACCAATTATCTTTTTGTAATCTTCTTGTTAGCGATTCGTTGGCAATTTGGATAAAATTGGCCTTTGTAATGAGTAACGAGCACAAAAAAATTATTAAATTTTTTCTTGAAAAATATCCAGCCCATAGGTGTAGGTAGGTACTATCTTTATCTAGGTACGAATACTACCGTAGTACTCGATATTCATGGATTAACCTAGACGACAACAAGTACAACACGAAGCTTAAGTTGTTTTAAAAGGGATTAATATTATTTTGTTTCTTTGTTTTGTTGTTTACTATACTCTAGAAACAATATTTTGCTGTGATCATCGTCATAGTTCTGACGTCGTTTTCTATGTCGCAAGGAAATCATGTTATTTATTGATTAAGCAATATAATGATTGGAAATGTAATCAATAATTTAAATAAGTACAATAATTAGATTACGTTCGTATCTTTTTAACCGGCTTTAAAAAGGAGGAGGTTATCAATTCGGTTGTTTATATTTTTTTCTTTTATGTATGTTCGGACATAACTATATATATCGGGCACGGCTGCTTCGGAAAGTACCTGTACTCGGTGGCTAGGAGGGAATTGAGTCCTGCCTGTCACCACTGCGATTGCAGTGAGGACTCGGCTCAGCACACGCTAGCAATTTGCCCGGCTTGGGCGCCGCAGCGCCTTGTTCATCCATTGGTGGAGGTACTAGTGGTGCGATACAGGCAACCTTCGAATGGACAAATAGACTGTAGATAGATGAATTCATAGGCATTTTTGTTATAAAAAAATATAAAAGAACCATCTGCCGGGACTCCGACCTTTCGGTCTTTCTCTTCTACTTTTCCTACCTTCAATCGCTTTGGGGTTGTCATCATTTCGGCAACCAACGTGTCCGAAATATTGATAATTTTTCATATATCGTATTCAAAATATGATAAGTACCTGCTTATACTGGCGTACTTATGAAAATATGTTATCTCTAGAGAATCTTCCAACAAATATCTTGTTCACTTATCAATCACTTATTTTGTTGCTATTCGACAATTTGTGATAAAGACACAACAATATTCTCAGCCGTATCAAACAAACAGCAATATCGCGAGGTGTGAAAGATAGGTAAAAACGTTTATTTACCGATATGAACTATAAAAACTATTCGAACAATATAATATAAAAAATAATGTCCAACTGTTAGCCACTAAGTTCCTTTCCACCGTCAGTTGTGTTGATTGTCACACTTACT